AGTACCTGTAGTACGTCAGTCATGGGCTTGTTATGAGATTAAATGTGTCCCTACATTCTGAGCAGTATCAGACACATTACAAATGCTGAATAAATGACAGCACACGCCATTTCTTTCCTTATTGTCATTTGGCCCCACATTGTGCTTTCTTCTTCTCCTCTCCTACAACTCTCCCAGTCGCTGCCCCCATGAGCCGCATCTCCTCTCCACACCTGCCCTAGCCTGCTGACTCGCTTTCTAGCGATGGCCTGTGTCTCCGGTGGCCTCCTGCTACCTCGAACGTCACGCTCTAGCACCGTTATTCATACCTCAAGGGTTAAGTACGAATTCGCCGTCCGCGTACTCCATGAGGTGAGGGCTCCTCGCCGATCCGTAACAGCGGCGCCCAGTCGGGCCGGGCTCGTAGGATCTCCACAAGTGTTTTCCTTTGGCCGATACTCAGCCCATTAAATGCAAAGCCACAGACAGCTCTCCAAAATTGCCAGTTTACTAAGAAAGAATCGAAGGCAACCGACGCAAACTGCGAGCCGCAGGCTTAACACAGCAGAGACACGGGGCCCAAATAGTACTCTGCCATACAGCTTGTGCCCGGGGCTCCGGCGAGGGTCAAGCGAGTGCCGCGGGCGGGCCTGGCCTGCTCTTCCGGCCCTCCAGTTACTCCGGCCTTGGCTCACCGCACACGCGTTCCTTTATACTAGAAACTGCGGCTTTTCATGCTTTTATGGCCGAGCATGAGGCACAAAAGTGCATGCTCCATGAGTCGTTGTTAGCAGCAGGGAAGAGTTTCAAGACATAGGCAGAGCTGAATGAAGACGGGGAAGAACGGCGCCAGCGCTTCTCGGGGTGACCCTCACCGAGCGCACGAGTCGCGCTCCGCGAGCTGCTCTGACCCGGGGCGCAGGCCCACGCGCTCAGCCCCGCGGAGACAGCGCCGGGGGCGCAATCCAGGGGGGATTCCCTCGCCAAGCAGAAGGCAAGACTGAGGCTGGCGCCTCAGCACAGCGGAGCAGCCTGAAGAGCTGCGCCGGCGCGGCAGGGCCAGCTGGCGGAGCCGGGAGCGCACACTCCGCGCGCAGGGGAAGCGCGGCGCGGGGACGGAGGCCTCGGATTGGGGCTGGGGGTGAAGCCACGGTGGTGGCTCGGGATTCACGCAGCAACCTCCCTACTCCCTCTCAGCAGTGCTGGACCTCGCACAAACGCTTGGCGGAGACGACACGCTTCTCATCCAGGTGGCCTCAGGTTATCTCGCAAGGAGCAGGGCGCCCGTGGGGGCAGGGTAGAATTCAAAGCAGCACTTAGAAATTCAGAATTATGGTTCAGAGTCAAAACAGTGATTATCTGAATAGAAATACTCAGAAGTAGCTCAAGAAATGCAGCATACTTTTTATATCTGCAACGTAAAATACTGAAAGAACCTAAATTTGGAGTATGAAACATAAGTGAGATTATACGTGTGAATATTCTAGTAAAGAATTAAAAATTCAGCAGGTGCCGGAATACTTGTAGGTTGAGTCAGAATCTTTTTCTTTCCTTGCACAGAGCAGGGCTCAATTATATATGTTGAATGAACAGGAAGAAACCCCTGGGACCAAATGAAAATGCTCTTCAAATTCATGTAGATTCTTATAAGTCTCTTCTTACTATCCTGTGGGGGGGGGAGATTATATAGTACATAAAAGTTACATAGATTGATTATAAGGAACACTTTGCAAACTGACTAGGAAGAGGAAGAACTCTGTACTATTATGGTTACGGAAATGTTTTCTCCACCGTCTTAAAAGTTGGGAGGTTCCCACTTGTCAAAGGTAAAGAAATTGTGGTTCTTTGCAAAGGTAAAAGAAAACAATGAGACCATCATTGACGCTCCCTCCAGATTCGGGGCTGTGTATATATTCTGATTAGTGACAACACAGTAAGTATCTCCTTTTCTTAAGTTATCTCAAAAAGATCCCAAAGACACAATTACGCAAGTATGTCCTAAATCTTCTGCCATACTTTGAGCTTTCAAAACCAGTACTACATATTCACAAAACAAAAATATGAAAGCTACAAATAACTAAAGATAAAAAGCTGCTCATTAGGTTAAGATATAAACAGAATCCACTTCATTGTTTAGCTTCTTCATGAAAATCACTCTACTTTTGATGCTGGAATCAAAACAGTCCAATCTTCTTAAGAGAAGCCTACTGTCTACTGTAAGGTAATGACATGTTTGGAGGCTTCTAAGTGCATATCTTGGAATTACTAACTTAAACGCACGGTTTGGGAAACATGTCATTGATGACAAAAGGCTGGTTACATTTTTTCATGAAAAAGAAGCAAAAATAAAGTGCTTTTGCTGTGAGGTCCCCATGTAACTATTTTACATAGTATGCTAAAAAAAAAAAGCAGCATATATATATATTTTTTTTAAGATTAGGGAGTCATTCTAATACATTCTAATACACACATTCTAAATGCATAAGTCATTCTAATACATATATATATTTTCAGAATAGAGATTGTCACTACATAATTTGTGAAAATAAATTTGAAATTAAGCAGATACTTAGATAAAACAACAGGAATAATTACAGACAGATTTATTCTGAGCTAGGAACATACTATGCATAACTTTACTAAAAATCCTAAAACAGGGAGGGTGTGAGTTGAACGAAAAGGGTGAAAATGAATCACAGCCATAACTGAAGTTATTTTATAAGTTTGATGATTAATGAATTATTTTAGCCTATATTGAAGAGCATCATACCAAAACCATTTGCTCTCTTTTATGGCAATTATGGAAAATTTTGTTTTATCTCACCTAAAAGAAAATCATTGTATTAGCATAACTAAGCTAATATCATTAAGTTGTTCTTTATGCAAATTGCTGTAACAAAATTTGTGTAAGGCATGAATAAAACTGCTTCTTTAATCATTCCTAAATTTTGGTTCTTTTGAAAAGAAAAAAATTGCTAGTATTTATAGCTCAATGTTCCTAGCACATCAAAAATTTATTCTGAGAAAAAGAAAGGTCACATTATTATATTCAGAAATAAAAATGATACATTAATAAAAAATATCACCAAGGTTTTAAGAAGATTTACCATTCTTTTAAAACTACATACCTGAAATTAAAATGTTCTTTTGGTCAAAATAATAGTTCAATACTCACTTGAGAGTACTAAGACACACGCATCTATCAGCTACCTGTCAGCTTCTTTTTTATGAGACCTAATTGACCGTATAACTATCTTCTTCTGTTCAGTTGTACCGCTCGGAAAACCAGATTAAAAATAGACATATGTTGGAGGTGAGGTAAAGTATGAGAGGGGGGATTTTTCAAATAAGCACATATTTATATTTTTTGTCTATTTTTTTTTTTTTTTCTTTTTAAGACCGGGTCTTGCTATGCAGCT